TAATAGTGATGAAACATAATTAAGATTATGTTAATTTAGTTAAATCATTGTTAAAAGAAGCTTAAATCATTGATTTTGATTTTAAATTTTTTGATTTGTTTACATTTTTCCTAACGGTCAATAAAAATTCAAATTTTCGTCTCAAATTTCGAAGTTTTCGACAATAATTTCGAAGACATTTCGAATTTTTTCGAATATAAGGTGGCGTAAGTCTGTGCCAAAGAATTTGTAAACATTCGAATTGGCAGTGGAAACTGCTTTTATTGTTGTTGTTGGTGTCTCTGGCTGATACTTACTGGATGAGTGCAAAGTCACTCAATGGCAATTGTGTAATGAACTATAAACGAGAAAAACAGAAACAGAAACTGTCGATGGTTATTTTGTGGAAGTAGAAAAATGAGAGAGAAAAATTCCGCTGCCAGATGTTTTAAATCAAAACGTCTCTCGCACATTTTGCTTCCGTCTGTTGTTTCTTTTTTATTTCTTTTCCATCTCTTTCGCTATCTGCTTTGCCTTGCATTGCTTTCATCATCTCACATTTTATTGATTCAATCATGAATCCACGATTGTTTGGGCATTTGTGGAATTTTTAACTCAAAATAATCGACCGTATGTTACCTCTCTCTCTTTTTACTCGCCTGCCTTAATTCATCGCAATTATAATGATAATGACTCAAACCGTCATTGAGTGCACATGATGCTCATCTACCTTCCAGAGCTCAGTCTAAAGCATTTAAAAATTAATTTATCATAAAGATTTTCATTTAATCCAAATTTAATTCATTAATTTCTGTCATTCCATCCCTAAAATGTTAAAGCATGGATGGAGACAGTGTCATTGAGCAGCAAGAAGATGATTATAGGGAGGAACAAATTTTGCGAATAATTAAAATTAAATTTTATTCTTCAATCAAAAAAAAATATTTTTTCACATTCATCATGTCACATTCTCATTTCTTTCCTTACAGATGGCACTGAAAATCATGCACGGATTTGTAGACGAAACTATTTGGTTATGAATTTTTATAATTGAAAGGTAAACTTTTCGTTTAGGGTCATTAAACCGTTAAGCTTCTTGTATGCGCAAGTGATATTAACTAATACTTACTTCACTGTCTATGAAGATATTCAAGTTATTACGGTATATCCATATAATTCGCTAATTTGCAATCAAAATAAAGTTGACCTTTACATTGGTTTACATTCATTACACAACTTTACACTCAAGTAATAAAGTTTTACCATTTTTTCATGATTAATCGTCTGTAAAGTTTAATTTTTTATTGAGATAATTAATTCTTAGCAATAGCTTAATGTCTGGTAGTATTTATGAAATAAGTTTAGTGCTAAAACTTCACACCAATATCATTCTGCTAATAAAGGAGTAAGGCTATCGATCTATTGATATTTATTGACACTTAAGCAAAGACTACTCCTTAGTTTAATCCATACCATTGGCTTTCTAATGCCCCATTTATGTTGAGAATGTGTACATCGTTGCTTGGTGTGAGACTTACTTTAGAAACTTTTATATCAAAGAAAAAAAGTGTGTACATAATGTTGAAAGCACTACTTGACTTTCATTGATAATGAACTTGATGCTTTTTTCTCGCGGTTTCGTTAAGTTTTCAAGGTCAATTGTTTTATTTCTACAACTTCAGTATGGGCATTAATATAATATATTATTATGTTATATCTCTCCTCATCTTTCCCTTGGTTAAGTTAAATCCTTTAATATGCATGGAGGGATTTTATAATGTTACGCATCACATCTTGACAAAGTCAATGATCCCGTTCCCCTACCAAAAAATCTGATTACACTTTCCCTAATGCAAAATATTGTGAAATTTTCTTTTTATATTCCATTCTGCTTCACATTCTTTGATTAAATGGAAATTTTGTTGAGGTATCAGCTTGTTACATGCATGTTCTCCACCAATAGCTGTCTTCTTATCCATTCTTTCCCTTATTGATGTTTAACAAACAAACAAACAAAACATTGCGAACATACTTCCTTCATTCATTATTCGTGCTCAAGATGTTACCACAGGATGATGTTTAGTCTCTACTTATTGTGTATGTGAGTGTGTGATTTCATATTGTCGATGCTTTTTGATAAGCATCAGATGTTGAAACGATTAAGAATCGAGGGATGAAGGATAAAATTTCGTTTTTTTTTGTCTTATAACCTTGATCGTGCTCATGTTGCTGATGCTGCTTACAACTGATGTCATTTTATCTAATTATATTGCCAGCCTGCTTGATTTTATTTGCAATTTGTAAGTATGGATGGGGAATACAGAAGAAAAATGGAAAGGATGAGGACATGAAAGGGTGAAATACTCAAATAAATAAAATATTTAAGGCACGTCTGTAAGGTGGTTTAGAAAGAGTGATAGAAATGGAAGTACATGGACAGAATGTGACCACATCAAAAAAAATTTAAACTTAACCGGGTTTTGTGTTTTAGACACACACAGAAATCTAGTCTAAAGTGTGGGACATAAATGGAATTTAATGGAAATTTCATGACCACATCAGAATAGACAAATATTTTGGATGTAGTTGACACTGTCCCACAATCATTAAGCATTCTTACATTTCTCATGTTTGTGATGCTGCGTGAATTGAATGATGCTAGTCGTCTATAGACAGTAATAGCTAAATTCATTACCTTAATTAAATAAATGCAAGCATAAATCAACAAGAAGTTTACTCAAAAATGTATCAAAGTTGTAAAAATAAAACAATCCGAATTTAGCATAGCATTAAAGGTCATAAACATACGTGCTTATGTTGCATATTCCAAAACATAATAAAATTTCAAATGTAAATGATAAACTTGAACGACACCTTGATTTTCATCTCAAGTGAGTATGAATAATACGAAATTACGAAAAGCTTAATTAAAAATATTTTATGTTTATGCATCTGCAGTAATCTTGTATGTTTTTCGTTCCATCATAATCATTTTTTTTAAACCAGCAGTCAGTACACGTGAACTTTTTTGATATTATTTACCTACTTCTTTTGTGAGTGATTTTCATAGTAACTTTTTTAATGAAGGGCTTTTGCCAACAAATGATTGCGCATCAGCATCATTGTAACAATGTAAATGTCAATCCGAATACCGGCAGACAGCATTGAAAAATTAATAAATTTAAATTGTCATAGATTATTGTCATTTTTCACGTATTTTCTTTGGGTCGTTCACTTATGACGTCCGGGGGAGGGGGGGTCAGCAAGAAAAGAACAATAGAAATTCCTGGAATCCATTGTTTTTTTTTTTAAAAATGACCGTTAATTTCGGACGTCATTAGTGAACGATCCCTTTGGTAGTTATTTTAAGAGTTTGTAATGTTTGGACATCAATGATCTTATCATTAATCGTTGCATGACGTCCTCAATGTCATGGGAAAATCCTGTCCGAATACAAAAATATTAATTTTAGTCTCTTGAGGACTTTATCATTAATATTTTCTACGATAATGTGGACGAAAGGATACGCGACAAGTTGTTTATGGAATTATATTGTTTTAATTGTGGTCGTACTTCCAAAATATATGGAAAATTGGAAAGCAATTAATAATATGACATGTGTTGACGTGATTTTGTGTATGAGATTAACATAGTTCCTTATAAATTTAATTGATTTGTCTCTATTTAGGTATGATTAGGTATGTTGCCAACAGATCTATCAAACTCTTGGCTACCAAAAAATGAATTTGTGGTGACGAAATTTATTTATGCTCTTCAAAGTTTCTTGTTTGTTATGAGTGGCTAGATATTTTCTGGTACATCATGCAATGTTGAAGTCGGACGTGTGCAAATCCCAAAAAGCACAAGTCGGTTAATCGAAGAGAAATCCAGCACCAAGCAGGCATGATTCTGGCATGGTGCTGGCATCAATTTAAATCCAGCACCATGCCAGAGTCACACCGGCTTGGTGCCGAATTTCTGATCGATTAACCGACTTGTGCCATTCGGGAATTTCTACCCCGGTTCATTTATCGGTGACTTTTATGCGAATCGCTCCTGATTTTTTCGCAATTTAATATTTTAAGTTGATGGATGTGACTTTGCATGTAAGTTGTGAATTTTTACAGCATAATATTGACATATATTTTCTACATAGTTATGGATTTATATAAAAATTTTAATTTTAAAGTTATTAAAGGGTCTGGTTTTTGTTGTATAAAATGAAAAGCATACACATCATTAACTCATCAAACGACGATATTTTTTTTTATGTAATAATAATCAAGACACACTCAAAAGCAGTGCTTCCTAAACTTTCATTCGCATAAAATGCTATGTTGTTAAAAATATTTTTTATGCTATTCATCTAAGCTGCATCATATCACAAAGTATGAATAGCCATGCAGTTAAGTGAATAAAAGAAGAAAAGAAAATGAATTAATCTATTCACAAAACTTAATTATGTCAATCGGCACAATATAAAAATAAAAGACATTTCTCTCAAAATTTCAGTTTTTTGTTGAAAGTCATCATGAATACATCACAGATAGATGATGTTTTAAACTTTTTTTATAGTCACGCAGATGAAAGAATTCGTGACAAGTTATTTTTTGGAAATCCGTACGCAATCATAGCAGTGTACATTTGCTATATAGTTATTATATCTTATCTATTGCCAAAATTTATGAAAAATAAGGATCCAGTGAATTACAGAATATTTATGTCATGTGTTGATGTAATTTTGTGGACAAGGTCGTGCTATTTCTTTTCAAATGGATTTTATATGTGGTTTTTTAAATTCAACTGGAGCTGCCAACCAATTAATCTGACTGATTCTTGGCTATCAAATTATGAGATGATGATTTGCTACCAATTTGTTGTGACTAAGTTTGTCTATACTCTACAAAGTGTTGTGTTTGTTATGTGCAAGAAAGATAAATCAGTTGGAACTTATCTTTTAATTCATCACTCAATCTTTCCTTTAATGCTATGGGTTGGTGTTAATTTTTATCCAGGAGGTCATGTGGTATTTGTTGGATTCATCAATTCAATTGTTCATCTTACTGGAGCCACAATGCGGATCATCTCAGCAATTTATCATGAATCTAGTATCAGGAAGTACAGCAAAATATTGGATGTCTACATGCATGTAAGTTACTGCTGATTTTTTGTTCCTCACGAACAAGTTGTGTACATATAATTTTTTTTATAGATCTTCCAATTTATTGCCATCATTTTTCATTCAGCCCAAATTTTACTTCTGAGTGAATGTCCAGTTCCTAAAAGTTTGGCTTATTTTGAAATAGCATCAGTTCTGTTTATTGCTTTTCTATACAACCATTACGTATTAAATGCAAGCAAACGAAGAGATTTTGTGAACCTCCAGTCGAATTATATAAAAAAATAGTAACTAATAAAGTCATTTTAATCATTGACTCTCACTGGCTATACTTTCCTTTAAAAATAAGTTTTTTAAAAAATAATTCCAAATACGATGTAATTCCGAATACACATGATTTTTTTGCAATTAAGCTAAACTTAAGCATTGAACTTCACTTCTCCATGTGTCATTACCCTTGAAATAAGAAGAAGTATGATGAGATTTAAAAAGCAAGTGCCATAACAATGATCAAAAATTTGCTTTACCAAACTTGTGCGAAAAATTCAATTGATTTATTGCTCAGCATGCATACCGCGTGCGTATTTCAATCATTGCATCTTTATGGAAATTTAAATGCTATTTAGTAAACATCTAAGACATATTAAGTCTTCAAATGAAGAATAATTGAAATGAGTCCAAATTAGTCCGAATAAAAGAAAGTACCGCTGTGTTTGGAGTGTGAAGATAAATGCTCTTACAGACATTGAGTAAAATTACCAAAACATTGTTTGGCCTTGAATAATTTTATGGCATTTTTCGGTCTGATGGATTAAACTTTTCAAGCATTCCAGTCAAAACAGTTCAACATGATTTCTTATTGTATTATTATTGAAGAATGCAATGGAATAATTGCAATCTTACTTATTGAATGGCAATAAGCTTAAAAGCAGACAGTCAACAGTAAAACATTCCAAAGAAAGTAAAGTTCAATGACCTAAACTTAAATAATGTCCAAAAGAAGTGAGATAAATTTTTAAAAACGCATAAGCTGAAAAAGAGGAGAAAAATAGTAGATGAAATCACCAAAGATAGCTATCATGCTCTAATACATCGAAATATCCACTCTACCAGTGCGCAAATATTCACTGAACGTCAATTACCCATTAATTTGATGACAAGAAGTTAAGTTAAGATTTATTAAAAATAATGCTTAAAAGTCGAACTTGTCATCTTCATTCCTACATCAAATAACATTTTCCTTGTTCCTATATAAGTTATACAACCACTAAATATTATGAGCCTTAGCAAAATACTAAGGAGCACTTGCTAATTAGAAAAGACACACGTTTTTCACAAAATATCAATAAAAAATATTTTAAGAGGCAATAAGATTCCTTGATAATATTTATGAAAGTGCTTGAGTTGCTTATTGTCCATAAATTAAATCTTAAGAAATTATCGTCATCAGCTCACTAAAGATGAGTTAGAAAATAAATTCTAATTGCATTCGTTTCAATGAAGCATTTATAAACTTAATCAGCCAAACTCAAGCGATGGATTTGATCCTCTTACCAAAATTTGATCTAAATGGCGTGTTCTATTGGATTAATAAGGTTCTGATCAGCTTTTTTTTAATAAATAATATAAAGCTGAGAATCAATCAGAATAATCCAATTTTGTAAGATTGGAAGCATATCGAATGTAAAATTTTGAATAAAAGCTCCAATCAATGCAAAATTATTTATATTAAGCCACAAGAATTTAATTCTAGTTAAAGCCACTCATAATATTCACAGGAATCCAAATGATATTCCTACTAGCTCCAAAAATGAACTTCAATGTCAAAAAAAAGTTCAAAAAATATCCAAAAAATGTTTCAATTTCCAGTAGCCCTTCAAAGGTATTTTGTCATCTTCACTCATTCACTATTTTGATGACTCTAATTAAAATTTAATGCCCATCATAATTGTGAATGTCATTGAACTGCAAATATTTATGTTTTAAGCTATTTATCAGATGTTCAAGTCATAGAGGCCTCGATGTCTTCTTTCATCAACAGAAGCTCATGCATTGTTTCCTGCAGAGTTGGTAAAAGTTAAATCAGCAGAAGGTTCATGAAATTCAACATAATCTTTATTTTGATGATAATTAATGATGTTGGATTACAATTTTTGTGTGAAATTAGTCAGGAACAGCTCAATGATTGCTTCTTCCTTTAATGAGAGGATGTAAACAGTTTGTAAGTTTACATTGAATCACAACTGTTTGTTGGTTCATAATTATGATTTCCAATTCCTCCTCTAATAACATGACACTGGTTAAAGGAAAGGCTAATGCTAATTATCCACTTCTCAGTCCTTATTAGCATCCTCAATACCCAAAGTGACAAGTTCAATATCACAGAAATTGCATTTACTTCATATTGAGCTTTCAAGTGTTGGATATTTTCTTTAAATAAGCTTATCCACAGATATTGACAAGCATCAATAGCCTTCAAACATTTTTCTACCACGAATAAAAAAAGAAGCAAGAGAAAAAATATAAAACCAAACGCACAATCTTTCCACATTTTTAGTATTTTTGCTGAACTCGACATGAATACAACACAGATCCGACAAGCTCTAAATTTTTTCTACGACAATGGAGATAAAAGAATCCGTGATAAATTGTTTATGGGAAATCCATATGCAATTGTATTTTGTTACTTATTCTATGTGCTTTTTATAAAAAAAATTCTACCGAAATTTATGGAAAAACGAGATCCGATTGATTATAGTAAATTTATGTTTTATACGGACTCAATATTGTGCTTAAGATCGTTCTACTTCCTCATTAATGGTGCATACATGTGGTTCTTTTTGTACAATTGGGTGTGTCAGCCAAAAGAGTTATCAGATTCATGGCTATCAAATTATGAAGTGAGAATTTGTCATGAATTTACTGTGTCCGTGTTCATTTACACCCTCCAAAGTGTTGTGTTTGTGATGTGCAAGAAGTCAACTCCTGTTGCAACTTATCTCCTGATTCATCATACAATCTTCCCAATTATGTTATGGACTGGTGCCAATTTCTATCCTGGTGGACATGGAACATTTGCTGGCTTTATTAATGCAATTGTACACTTTAGTGTGACTGCAATGAGAATCATAACGACAATTTTCCCAAAATCTGATCTTAAAAAATACAGGAAGATGATCGACGTGAACTTACACGTGAGTTATGAGTTGTGCATTGAAAAAGTTTAAAATTCATACAAAAATGTTGTTTGCTTCCACAGATTTTCCAATTCCTTGTTATCATCGCTCATGCATCTCAATTATTCTTTCAACCAAATTGTGACGTTCCTGCAGGATTTGGAGTCTGTGAAATTATCGGCGCACTTATCATTGCTGTGATTTACAATCGTTATGTGATAAATGCAAGCGAGAGAAAAAAGGACTATCCAAAATTAGAGCTAGTTCGAACATCCTAAAAATATGGGGCGGTTTTATATAACTTACTAATTTTAAGACCAATTATAGAAAGAGAATGGAAACAATTTTGAAGGGATTCAGAATTCAGGGTTTTGAAATTTTCAATATTTTTGCTGTGATAAAAAAAATTCCAACTTTCTATTAAAATTTTGTGTGAATTTTTAACTAAAACGTTTGAAAAGTAAATAAAAGAATTTAAGGAATAACTTTTTATGTGTTTTTTATGAAAGGATCTGGATAAATGGTTTTGATTATACTTTTTGTGATTTTATGAACTTCTGAGTTCAGTGAAATCTTCTGTGATAAATGTTGGATATATTGTCTACTGAATCTAGAGTCCCTATCTCCTCAATTCACATCACAGAATAGCTATTTCTTGGTTCTTGGTTGATAACTTAATAAACTTTTTCAGAAATCCTCAAAATCTCTAAAAGTACCTGAATTTTCTCAAAACTATCCTCTAGAAAATCAATGACCTTGAAAATCCAAAAAATCATCCGGTTCATCAGCATTTTCTATCCTTGATTCACTGATTTCAAGAAGCTTCTTGATACTCAAGCGTCATTAACATTTTTGATTGCAAATAAATAGCTTTTAAGCGTGGTGACAACAATTTTTTGTCGACAAAGAGCCAATTTACATTTCTTTAAATGCTACTTCAGTTTTGCACAATAAAATCAATTCGCAGAAAATGACAAAGAAATTTATTTTAAGATCTTTAAGCTTAGATTATTGGACATACAGCCAAAAAAGAGTATTTCATCCAAGAAAAGTTCTAGATTTCTATCAATCTTTAGATTTTTTTCTGTTTGATGGATGTTGTGAGTGAGCTTGATATCTTGCATGGTAGATTGTCAAATATCTTTTTGCAGCATGTTAAATACTTGACAAAATGAAATTTAAACTTCTTTTAACATATTTAAACAAACAATTTGTAAAAAGTTCAAATATTGAATATTTTCATGAATTATCGGAATTATCATTTAATTTTAATATTAGCTTTTGTAATTTGCGACTTTTTTGAAGCAAAACCTTTTAAATGAGTTGTCAACTTTTGTGGAAATTGTGAAAATATCATACTGATTATCAGAAACTGAAGAGGTCAGTTTGAATTTATGCTTAATATAGTTTAAATTGAACATATTTGCTAAGTTCCCATGAAATTTAAAATGATTTTAATTGTTAGCAATATGATCTTCTATTATATGCTTGATAGCTTCTTATTATTTGTGTTTAATGTTTATGCGAAAATTATGGCAACATTTATGATTTAATTTTTTATTATTTTATTTTTTTCAAAATAATTCCGACATTATCTTGTGAAAACGTGCAAAATCATAGATTCAGTAAACAAACTGTAAAATTAAGGAATTCTATCATTGTTAATTAAAGAGATTGCAAAAATTCTAATAATCACAATATATTAAAATCTAGATTATTTGAAAAAGCTCCAAATTCTTTAAAGTTTAAATCAAGATATATTGATGTGCTCATACAAAAATATCGCAGTTTTTAAACGTCAAAAATTTGAATTTTCTAAAAACACTAACACTATAAAAGAAAATTTTCAATTTTTGTTTTGCAAAATTTTCAACTTTCTGTTAAGTTTTGTTGATACAGGAGTATTGCAAATGCTTTGCTATAATTTAAAGAAACTGACTTAAGACAAATGTTGTTGCATCTGTCGATATTTAAATGAAAACTTGAAAATAGAAAATTTTAAAAATTTTTGTTTGTATAAGTACACAAAAAATAGTATGGTCGAGTATGGTCAAGTATACTCTGTATGAGCTCATCTATATATCTTGAGTTTAAATGTTCATTTAACATTGTTTTCTGAACGTTTACATTTTTTTTAAATCCAATCATAGTTTAGTGACATAACTGTAAATAAAGGAAAAGACAGTTAACATATTCCTGACACTACGATTGAGCAGTTCATTAAACCATAAAACAAATTATGATGCTCATTTTAAGCAAAAAGAAAAAGCTAAGATTTATATTGCGAATTTAAGCTTATGCTTAACAAGATCATTCAATTCAAGGCTGTTGTGAGCTGGTTCTACACATATTGTAAAACAATATCAAATTTGTTGATGAAAAAATTTATGCCTTGATTTTTTGCAATTTCTCGCGCCTTGAATTTCAATCCATTTTGATATAAATTGATTGCAAGTTTTGCTGATTCCTTTGCATTTTCAATCAATCTTTCAAACATCAGTACAAGAAACTTTACAAAAATTACATAAAGACTCGATGCTACAATAGATGAACAATAGCTGATAATTAAGTTGAAACTTATGTAAATTTACGAGTGTCAAAAAATTATTCAATTATTTCATATTTTGAGAGATGACGACCTAGGTCATCATGAATACCTTTTCAAGTTCAATCTTATTGTTTCTTCAAGCATAAATGCACAAAACATAAAGTCAATAAAAGTGTAATGAATTCATAAATTAGTTACATGCTAATTTTTTCGTGAGAAAAATCATGAATTGATGTAAAGTTTTGTACAGTTTATGCCTTCCTTATAGCCGATTGAATAGTCTTTGATTTGATAGCTCGTTTCTATAGCTACCTTGATCATCCTAGATTAGGAATTGCATTTGATCAAAGAATATAATTTAAATGTATCTGAGGTTAGGAAAAGATGCTCTTAGGAGCTTGAGGTTAGGGCTCAAATTTCTTCAAACACTCATTCCAATCTCCAGTGACGATGGAACCCCCTCGTGGCTACACAAATGTTAAACAAATTGTTCTCTGATCAAATTATCGACTCTTTGTGAGATTAACAGTTATTAATTTTCGCATGGTTAAACCATTTCAGTCACCAGATAATTACATGAATAAATATTCGTCATTTGAGTACCTCTCGAGACTTTAAAAAGTGCAAACACTCTTTTTTGCGGAAATTTGCATAACAGTTTTACAAAAAAAATAAGTAAATAGCATGCAAGGTCAATTTATAAGGCTAATAAGCAGTGTCAACAAATGTCCATAGTTAGTAATGTACAATATTCTTGTGATTTATATACGTTATATAATTGAATATAAGTCAGACTGTATGTTTATGAATGTCTATATATTTGGTCTGTAAGAAAGCGTTCACTTCCAGTACAGGAATTGATATCAAAGAATGTAAATTCACAGAAAATCACCAAGACATTTTAATAGGTCAGTGCCACAAAAATCATTACCAAAATTTCTTTTTAAATGACTGCATCGTTCGTTTTCAATATCATTTTGCCGGTAATTGCTGTTTTGAGACCTTCAGCATAACAATAAAGCACAAAACCATTAAACAATTCGGCAATGTTGATCTTATTCAGCAATTGGTGTGGTTAGAAATTTTTGCATTACTTTTGTTAATGCTCAAGTTATAAATCATTTTTTTGAAGATTTTATGAATTGCGGCGGTGTGAAAGAAGGCTTGTGCTTAACAATTGTAAATTGAGTCATCAGTTTGTTGCTTTATTTGAAGTTTAAACTTCATCTTGGAAGTTTTATAGAATGGGCAGTGACAAAAACACAGAATTAAACTAATTTCCAGAAGATAAGCTTCAAGACTTCCGTACATCAAGCTTGGGTAGTCAACCATATTGATTTGACAGCAGTTCATTCAAGTTCAATGAAAATTAAAGATATAATGGCATTTTTTATTGTTTCTGAAGTCATGTGAGGCACAATGATTAATCTCATTACAATTCGATGATTTCAGTACCATCAAAAATGGTTTTTATGTCCGAAAAATATTCATTTGAACTACTTCATTAATATTATCCAATTGTGAAATTCTCTTTGCTACTTAAAATTATTGAAACGTAGTCGCTTGTGCTACCTTATGTATAGCAAATGAAATATCAGCATTACAAAAGACACGAATGACTAAAGTATGAATAGAAAAAAAAAAGGTTTAGCATTCAAAAGGTACTTTAATCTACACAAATTGATTCATTTCGTTGGTTGTTTACAAAATTAAGCATGAATGTGAAGATGTCATTGAATTAGTATCAATTTTGAGTCTATGTGACTGTAAATAGATTTTTTTGAATAAGCTGACCTTTGAAAGAATAAAAGTTGATGATAAGGTTTGTGTGAGTCTCGCTCTAGACAAAGGTACAGACTGAATTCTGGGTCATTGTAAAGAACTTCATTCAAATTATGAGGTAAGGAATATTTTATGGATTTTTAAAATATTTTTTGTCTGATTCTTTTGTCTGTTTTAGGCATCTTCTGCTTATTATATTCATTCTCGAGCTTGTTATAACAAAAATCAATTCAATAACATTAAAATGTGATATAACATGCGATACTGAATATCAAGTACTTGGAACAATATGTCGCTGTAAAGTTGTGGGATTCAATTCAATCAATCGTGAGACAATAACTGATGTTCGTCATGAAGGAAGTTTTAATGGAAATTATTCAGACATCAAGCTAATTTTGATTGATGGACAAAATATGAAATTTATTCCATCAAACATTTATGATTTCTTTTCAAATATTCAAGGACTTATTATCGATGAGTCGAGCCTTTCATCAATTGATCGAAATGACTTAAAATATTTCAAGTCCTTGAAGTTTCTGTTTATCGGAAACAATCAAATAAATTCACTGGATGATGATTTGTTTGCTGATAATATAGACATCGTATGGCTCACGTACATCAACAACTTTACAAAGAAAATCAGCCAGAATATTTTATATCCATTAAATAATTTAAATTTTGCAAATTTTCAACGCAACAGCTGCATCAATTTCAAAGCAATTGGAAAATCTGATATTGAAAAATTAAAAAAATTTATCATGCGAGATTGTGCTTAATATATGCAGCAACATGTGCTATGACATAAAATTCTATAGTTAAACATATCAGAAAAAAAATCAATGACTCATGTTACAATTTTTTTTTTCAACAATCACATAAAATATTTTTCAGTTTTTCCCCAAACACACACACACACATCAATGCCAAAAGTACCTTTTAATGCATATATTTCAAGCATATATAACATAAAACACCTGCTAACAATTCCACTCATTCATACACTTTCCCATACTTAAATTACATTTTCATTGTTTTCCAGATATTTATGCAGCTGATGCCTTTCTCGCTGTCGATTTTTACAATTTAAAACCTCTTTTTTTAGATCCTCAATTGTTGGGAAACGTTTAAATGTTTTTCTTTTTTATGGATTAGTCTTGCTGTACTTATGATTACGAGTTGTTCACGTTTGATGTCCAGTCTATAGATATGACAGTCGCGTTTTTTTAATTCTTTTATTTTTACCAAGTATTTTGATAGGATGTTACATACTTTAGGACCTTCCTGAGCCAAAATGTTAGACCTGATTTTTGAATGACTCTTAGTATTTGTAAATGACGTCACAAGAAGGTTTATTTAAGCCAAACCAAATGATTGTAAATAATTTTTAAATTCTAAGTCTATAAATTCTATTCATCAACTAAGGCACATCAAACAATCTCATCATTCATGTCATATATCTCAAAGCATTTAAATACTCTAAAATCGTTGAGTTCAACTCAACTTCTAAAGCTTTAAAAACTTCACAATGAAAAGCTCAATAAATATATTTTATTTTACATCAAGCACCACAGATGGAGCTATGAGTCGTGAAGCTCTGTATGCATCATGATCATACTTTGTTTACATACTTTCCTCTATTTTCTCGGAAATGAAATTCATTTTCTTAGTTCCATAAGCATATAAATAGGTGGCATAAAAAAATGAATAAAAATCCAATTGAGTAATAGCATTCTCTGTTTTTAATACACTACAGCGAGGAATTATAAAAGTTGCTAGTTACCTAGCAATGATTAAATGATATAAATAAATTTTCCATAATGCAAAGTTGTCACGGGCAACAAACAAGCATTAAGGAATGTTAAAGTAGGATAATGTTTATTAAAAGCGTTCTAAACATAGCACTTTCGCGAAGGCTGAATTCTTCACAGAATATAATTCATATACTTGAAGTATTGAAAAAAATATTTCCATTCTTCCTGTGCTCTTTCTTCATATTGGTCTATACTGATTCACCGAGTGCCATGTTTCTGACTTTTTCATTCTATTTTCTTTGTGATTTATATTCTTTGCGGAACACAGTTCTTACTTCATAAATACATGCGGAGTTCTTTGTGCATTTTTGTCGAATGGAATGTAGAAAATTCAGCTTGGCCGAATAACAAATTTTTGTTTATATTACTGCATAATAGCCAATCGTGTTCCTTATTCTCCAGCTTAAAATATTAACGAAATCTTTTTGAATTTTTCCAGCGTTTTTTTCCAAACATATTTTTTTTAAATAAAGAAGTTGAAAGTTTGCGGATTTAGAAATAATTAAGCAGACTAAGAGACTAAGAACTGTATTAAAATGCTTGCTCACTCATGCTATATCTTTTTTCATTATTCAAGCAACAAATAAATGTGAATTCAAAGCAGAATGTATGGACAAAATCTTGAGGTGGAAATGTAAACAAAACATTTTCTAATTCTAATTTTAGAAGACTTTCTTAACTATTTCAAGCTTATATGTAAGTTTTTATAGATGCTTTGAAACCCTTCAAAACACACACAAAACAGCAAAAAAATTCAATTTCTGCTACAAAAATTTTTAAAAGGTAATTTCCATACCTAAACACACACACGCATTTAATGTTTTATCACATTTCTTGCTAATTTTATGACCATTCACACAACAACATCATAAGCATGACAAAGTATCACATCCAAAACATACAAAGCATTAAAATTCCCAATAAAATTTGAATTATGAGATAAAATTTAAGAACCTGAATTCTTCGTAAGGAAGACTTAATCCAAAAAATTCATAAATTAAATTGCTTAACTGCAAGACACCAGTAAAAAAGCAAGCATTTTATGCTAAACTTCCACATAAATTTCTCTCCGAAAAAAAAGCTCAAAGCCATGCGATTATAAATGAGAGAGAGTAATGAGAATTGAGAGAAAAGGAGCAGCAGCAGTAAACTAAGTTGAAAGACTGTCTATATACATATATATACTCACAACAAAAAAAATATCCTTACGTTGTGATAACAGATGCAAGCATCAGTCGCCTTCCATCTTCCGTCGTGTACGCGTAAAGCTTTCCATTTTTCTCGTATCGAATGTAAGACACAAAAAACCACAGTAAAGAAACTTTTTGTTCGCCTAGACTCTTTTTAGTTCCTTTTTGTGTACACAACTGGATTCTCTATATATTTGAATTATACCTTTCAAGTGAATCACACACCAATCGTGAATTGAGGATATTTTTTTTTTCTGTGTCAATAATTTCCCATTCTCTGTCTCTAACTGACTGTGGATATTCAACAATTTATGTTCGACTTTATAGAAATAAAAATAAAATAATTTAATTGTGAAAATAAGCTGAAAGGGAAAAAGAAGTGATTTTTTTTTTCTTCTGTGGAATGAAACCTGAACAAAAAAAGAACCGAGAAAAGATAAATCTCTTTGGTGGTGAATTTTTCTTTGTGATATAAAGAGACAGCACAGGATAGAACAAATTGAATGTCGAAGAATATAAAGTAAAAGCATTGACATTGAGAAATTTGTTAAATTAAGTGCACCGAAAGGAAGACAGAATTGATAGATAAAGAATACAAAATAAAAGGAGGAAGGAAAGAGTGTTGGAGATAGAAGAAGTTAATAAAAGTTTATTTGGTCTCACAACAATTTTATGTCCCAAGAGATGTGATTGATAACTGTTTGTATAAGTATGAAGGAAGATGTTAGTTCAAAAAAAATTTCTGTTTTTTGTTGCTTTTCGTTTAATGTCTGAGGCATCAAGTTTTTATTTGTTTGTACAGTCCGAGCAACACGAAAAATAAAAGTCTCAACTTTCTAATCCTTTTTTTGTCCTTTGCTACTCACTCGAAAAGGAATTTGTGTTTCATTATTGGGGATTACTCTTTGGATATGTTGGGAAAGTGAATACCTTTCAGTAAGAAGCATGAAGCAAAGGGCAAAAGAAAATGCTGAGAGGATCCGTTCAATTTAAAGAAGCTTTTTTTTGGAACTCAAAACATCAGATTCAAGTGTACTACAACTGGATGAATGGATTGTCGGAACATAATCAATATTTTCTAAAAATAATACTAAATTGAACAGAAGTAAATCCAATAAATTCGCTATCGTGTGGAAGTTTCATCCATAAGAATTGGAGTTAACATCAATTAATGGATATTGCTGCTGTTGATTTAAAAATAACAGTGTCTTAATCTTCGATTACAATGGAATCGGGTTATTTGGTTCCGAAAAGGTTGATATCAGTGTTGATTCCTAGCACATGCCTTCTAGCCAATAGCCAAAAAACATTTTCAGTTCCTAAAGATCTTGAATCCCACATAAAGCTTCATTTTTAAATATCATCCTTGATACAGTTTAAGAATCAGTTACTGGTTTACATAGAATGTAATGGATAGCAGTCATATTTATTTGTGTATTTATGCTTATCAGCCCACATGCTCTTTAATCCTTCCGTCCTTCACAGTCACAAAAATTTACACCCACTGCAGGAAATAAGCATTAAAAAAAGTTCAATCGGTTCATATCATGAAGGAATCAATGATAGATTATCATGTATTTTTAATTCCTGCTAGATCCATGTGCATTTAATTGAAAAAGTTTCATTTCAATTTCAAAAGAATCGTGATTTTAAAAATACATAAAGCAGCACACAGAGCATAAACTTTCCACAACTAAAGCAAGCTTCGTTTGATGTTGCAAATAGCAATCAAAACCAGCAAGTGTCACCTCTTACCATTAGCATGTTCAGCTCTCATTCATTGATAGAAAATTTATGAAAAATCTGTAAATGTAAAGGAAAGAGATGTAAAAAAATTTAAAGAAGTGCTCTTCACAAAAAAATAACATCCGAGATTTCCCCCAACGACAGCTATTTGACTTAAAGTACTAAAAAAACTTTCGTGATTGGCGAAAAATTGAAAAAGATTTTCTACATTTTTTATTTTCCCTCCCATCCTCATTGACACATTTTCCATCAAAGCTCCTCACCCCTCACCATCAACCTGTCAAATACCTGAAAGCATTTAAATTACCTCCATGGAGACATAAAATATCAAAAAACTGCATTAACATTTTTATGTCGCTCGGGCCATAGAACATAAAGACATAAAACACAGATTAAATGACTTTCTCTTTCTTCTTGTTTTTCTGCCATTTTACGAGAGATTCTTTCTTGTTTTTTTGGTCACTGCACACACATACAATTTTCCTTTACATCATCTAAATGAATTTCTGAATAGACGTGAAGTCATGATAGAAGGTCGTTAATGAATATGAATCATATTTTCCCCTTTCAAGAAACAAATGTGAAGAAAACCAGCATGAATTTGGTCATTAAAGCGCATATGTTGAGATACTATCGATTAGAAAAAAAATAACGGTTGGGGAAAATTTGAAAAGCACTGAAAATTTTCGTTAATAATTTCAAAATTTATTTGTATAGACAGACAAAATGCAGACAACTGGTTACCGTTAACAGTCAAGAGAAAAGAAATAAAATAAACAGCGTGTAAAGTAGAAATGAGGAACAAAGAGAATGCGACATTAAATTAGGGGCCGTTCACTTATTACGTTACGCAAAAAAACAACTTTTTTCACACCCCCTTCCCTCCTTGTTACAATATGTTACAACTCACACCCCCCCCCTCCCCCCCTGAACGTCCATAATTTATTTTATCATTAAAAAGGTGGAAAATTTAAAAAATGTTTTTGGTGTGAATTTGTAAACAAATTTTTTTCGTGGACTTTTTTTTTAAAAGACAGACGAAAGTTAGAACATTACATACTTCTTGACACCCTCCCCTATGTTA